TATATACGTATCATACTTATCTACTATTCCTATCCGTATGTGCCATATATGTGTGTATATGACGTATATCCAGCTATAATTATAATAGTAAGTATAAATGCTGCTGCTCTGATTAAATCATAGATAAATGTCCCATTCTTTATCATTATTTTTATTATATTCAATGCAAAACTACCTCCTCTATGATCATGATTAATCTGGTAATTGAATGCCGTTTGCCTTTTAAATAATTTAATTAACTTTAGTAAATTAAAAAAGTTTCCTGACATAGTTGCAAAATTAAGAAAAAAAAACAAAACACTGCTTCCCAACATGTGGCATCCCTTTAAATGGAACCCTCCCAAGTGTGAAGAATGTGTTAATATTTTATCAAATGAATGTTCTGTGTAGAAAATCTGATCTAAATCGTGATTTAAACTTTACAACCACTACCATCTCTCCATTTGAGCAAACTCCTGTTAGAAACTGAGAGGGCAGGGGGGTTATCTCAGACCTTCGGGGATATCCTAGGAAGCAAAAGCTGCTCTAAAGGAATTGCACAGGATTGTCATCAACAGGCGTTCCTTTCCAGACTCCCTGAGCCTGTAGAGTGGGTGTTTAGGTGCACTGAGAAAAGGGGAAGCCAATGGGCTTTCCATTCACCCAGGGAACCGGGCCTGAAGATCCTCAATGGTTTGTGCGTGCGCAGGCGTCTCTGAGGGTGATCAAATCCTTCCCTCACCCTGTGGGGAGGCGGTGGCAAGTAGACCGCAATCATGCACCTGCCGGTTAACAGATAAGCCCTCCATATGCGGAGGCACTCGCCCAGCTGTGGCAGAGGAGCCCTGAGCCGAGAGCCGGCCAGTTCCCTCCCCCATCCCCACAGAACAAAGGGCGGTCATTTTCTGCTCCTCCCAGAGGCAAAGGCACGCACACGCCTTCCATCACAATTAACTCAAGAATCCGAAACACAACAGGAACCCACCGCGACATGCTCAAAATCAATGCCGTCAATACCCAGAACAAGGATACCAAAAAAGCAAAGCAAAACAAAACAACCTATTCAAAGAGTAAATACTCAAAGCAACGAGGCTGGAGTCAGACACACTACAAGGTCAACGAATTCAAGGCAAGTTCAAGTACTGGAAGCCTTATAAACTGAAGAGCTGGCCATTATCCCAGGGTTAGCAAAAGTAAGTGCCTTCAGGGGGCAGGTAATGGAAAGGGCTATAAGATAATAGAGAGAGTAGTCTGTCCAGAGCAGGACCGCAGGTGCCCTGGGTAAAGCCATTCAAATTCAATTTTTAAAAATTTCAACTCCTGATACATGATTCTTCAACAGAAAGTCTACAACCAGAGAAGGAAACAGAGTTAAATATGGATGTAGGGAGGATGAAACAGAATATGAATCAAAATCAGAAGTGTTGACAGAAGTCCGTGTGGGATGAAAGGCAGGGTAGTCATTATTAGAAAAGATGGTGACCACGTGCTGTTGCTTCAAAGGCAAAACAAAAGCTAGAGAAAAATGACCACTTGAAATCTAATATAAGGGATTTGGATTAGTCAAATTGGTTTGACATAAGTAACCATTGCCATGGGTTGCAAAATGACCCCATATATTCCCTGGGATGGCCCTTCATGGTAAACAGGGCTTCCAAGTACTATAGGTGTGGCCTTATTGGAAGGCAAGAGGTGGACCAAATGACCTCCCAAGATTCTGATTTAAATATGTCTGTACAGTCAACTCTTGGTTATCTGGCCCAGAGGAGAAGACAGTGACAAATCATCCTATGCTGAAGATAATAAAAAGTTATATTTGCCTTTGGAATGTATTTTGGTACTTAAATGAGACCGTCTCTTTCCGATGCTCTGTGAATTCGCAATGCTTCACAATAGCCACAAAGAAACCCTGACCTGGAGCTGGGAGGCTGCCCAATTTCGCCATACCTTCCTCATATCTCATCCTTTGCTGGAGGTGAGCAACAAATGCATCTTTCAAAATAGCATGTAGCATCCCAAGCTTTCCCAGAGGTTGCCTGACACAACCCTTCCCTAGAAGAGATAGAGGTCTTTCTGAATGGCTGATCCAGGAGCAGGACCCTGGATGTTGGTTAGCACTTTCCAAAGGTCAACTCCAATGTCCTACAGGAACAATAGTAAGCAGCAAGCTAGTCGAGGTTTAGACATCATTCTAAGCTGATATAAATAATGGTCTAGCTTCTCTACCAAAAGGACACAAAAGCAAATTTCTTAAGTTCCTTAGAAGAGAAAGAAAAAAATTTCATGGCAGAGAAATATGAAATGCATGCCCAGAGCTTGGAAAGGAAGAAGCTGCAGGCTCAGGAAAAGCAGGTGCAAACAAACTCCTGCACATCAAAGGATGAGTGGGAGGGAGACCAGTGCTGGAAGATATCTTTAGGTTAGGGTTCTAGGACCTGACCTCAGCAATGGATCTGTCTAAAGCATTGCATATGACCTGGAAAGGACAAGGAGACACTGAAAATTCTGCTACAAAATGGTTTTGCTTCTTCCCGGACAGACCCAGATCAGAACCAGCTGGGGGGCAAGAATTTCTTTGTTAGGTGGGTTCTTTGGCACTGACAGATGGACAACGAGGAGGGTGGTGCAGCCCATAACTCTTGTTTCAGGGGGTCCTGGAGAGAGAAGCCACAAGGGGCAGAAGAATGACAATAAATAAATAAATAAATAAACCTAAGCTGTAAGCTGCTCTTATGTCTTCCTTAGGCAGTGTGTTGGGCTCTCCATGGCCTTTCTTCTCCTCCCTCTGGATCCCTGGGAAAAGAGTTAGCAGCACAGTGAGAGAAATCCAAAGGTCTCCTGAACTCACTGGGGAGGGAGAGTGCTGGGCTGTGTGAACCAGAGCTACCATTTGGTGAAGGGTCTGTAAACTGCTGAGACCAGAGATGTCTTTACTGAGGGGGCAGCGAGACTTTGAGTGCTGGGCCTGGAGGCTCCTGCCAGCTGTCCCAGAAAGGGAAAAAAAGATGAAGAGACTTTTTGTTCACATTTCAGGTCTTAATTTTTCCATGTTAATTTGTGGGAATACGAGATCATACCATTATCTGAGATGAAAGACGATGCTGACAGTAACTGAGAATAGGTGGGTAAGGGAAGGGTGGCTGCCTCACTGCTCTCTGTCCCCAGCTCCTACCAAGGGAAGCTGGGGGTCACCTCGCAGGAGGTGGGGCAACCAGAACGTCTCAGGAGTACATCAGAGTCCTCTAATCAGAGGCTTGGCAGGGTGGCACATGGCTCTGCGAGTCAGGCTGGGTATGGACTTGGCCAGGAGGGCTTCTCTCTGACCTGGGGAGAGCCTGGGCCGTCCCAGAGCTGAACACAGGCCAGCAGCTACTGCAACACTGCTCAGCTCCATGTGGGTGGAAAGGATTGCTACAGTCATTCCTGTTTCCCTTTTCTCCGTCTGCTCTTTAGTCATAGTCTGCTCTTTAGTTTTTCCTTCTAAAAGCCCCGAATGCAACTGTCCAATCTAAATGTGGCTATTTAATGAAAATTAATTCAAATTAAAAATTCAATTCCTTGCTCAAACTAACCATATTTCAAACACTTAATAGCCATGTGTGGCTAATGGATACTGCACCAACATAGACCGTTTATACCACCACAGAAAGCTCTACTGGATGGCACTCTAATCCTGACCTTTTCGAAGGCCTAGAATCTAGTACCTCTCCTCTTCACATGGTAGAAGAAATGAATAATGAAAGAAGAAAGGAACTTTACAAAGTATCTTTTCAGAACCATCACCATGGATCCTCACAACTGCCCTGGGAGGTAAGCATAGCAGGTTTTACACCCATTTTACAGATGAAGAAAGTTGGTCTGTGGAGTTAAATGAGTTGCACAAGGTCCACAACTATTGGGTTAGGTATGGTTAAATTAACACTCGGTCTTCCGATTCTAGGGTCAGTGCTTTTTATTGTTACCTGCAACTGCTACAAGTAACGTTACCTGCCCAGCACTTTATCTCTCAGAGCTACTACAAAGACTCAGGCCTTCCAGAATAAGGTCCACAAGCCCCTGGAGTGCTTTTTGAATGATAACTAAACTTTAGTGCAGTATGGCAGCCCCAGAATTAGGAAGCCTTGAAGTTCAAATCCTGAGTCCTGCACTTACTATTTATTTGACAGAAGGCAAGCTGCTTACTGTCCCTGAACCTCCATTTCCTTTTCTCTAAGTGGGAATGAAACGTTACGAGGAGGCTGAAGTAAGACGGTGCGTGTGAGACAAACCGATATACAGTGCCTGGCACATATTAGTGCTTAATAAATAATACTTATCAGTGGAGACTGGCAGAATTTACAATGTTCTGTCATGTACGATAGCCTATTGCAAATCTGGAACGAGCCATTAATATATTTTTAAAAGTTATCCCCTTTTTAATATGATATATCTGAATTGCAGAGAGTAAGGAACTGACTCAAGGTCATTTAACAGGGAAGTTGTACACCGAGGAATGAACTCAAGCTATTTAAATACCAAGGTGATACTTTTCTTGCTTTTTCAGGAGAGAAGGAAGCAATGGGTACCAAGGCTTAGCTAACCCCTTGATTCCCACCTTCCCCTCTTCTTTGAAATGGGCAATTAATATTGTCTTAGTCTCACATAAAGTGCTGTGCAAAGGCAGCATCGAGCATCTCCTACTACGATTATCACCTTTAAGCCCCTCTTATGTAGAGATCCTAGAGCCCCTCTGGAAAAGAAGTAATACCTCTATAACCAAGAAGGCTTAAATGTGACAAGAGAGAAAAGTCTGTGGATCAAACAATCTTCCAAATTGCCCTCCTTCCCAATTTCCTGCTGTGGCAAAGAGCAATGCATAGCATCCCAGAACTGTGGCCAAGGTGGCCAGGCTTAGGCTGGGTACCACCAATCTATGCAATGAGAGCACGTATTGTCACCAGGTTGCAGAGTCATTTGTTACATAACCACGTTACAAAAAGCTGATGAAATATCTGTCAGACTTAGGGTTAGGAGGCACTTACCCTGCTACCACGATCTCGAAGTCCCCATCGTGGTCTACATCAGTAACTGCCACACCATAGTTGAGCTGAGTCGGGTTGCTGTCATAGTCGGGGGGCAGAACTGAGTTGGTGACTGCAATGAACATAGGTTCAGCCTGCTGAGACTCCTCAGTGGGAGGCAGAAACCATAGAAGCAGCAGAAACAGTAACATCCTGAACATCTGAAACCAAAAGTTACAAACATTGCTGAAAGATCCCTTAGCTAAAGCAGCCAGGAAAATCCAATCCCAGCTAGGCCCACAAGTTCCTTTCTCCCTTGTTATGGGGGCTTGGCAATCCTTAGGCTGTCTTTAAAACTGCAACCTGCCCCATCAGAGCAGACCACCTTTATCCTGCTCTGCTTTTCCTTTTTCTCTGGAGTCCAACACTGCATAACATACAAGATAATTTACTTATTTTTTTTTACACTTATTTACTGTCTGCCTTCCACTGCTAGAATATGAACTCCACTTGGGTAAGGATCTTTGCCTGTTTTATTCACTGTATACACCAAGCCAAAAACAAGGTGTGTAACAGGTACTCAATATATGTGGAAGGAAGGAAGGGAGGGAGGAAGGAAAGATAGGAGGGAGGGAAAGAAAGAAGAAAGACAGGATAGCGTATACACAATATAGGCATCTTCCATACTATGTGAGAAAGTTTGGAAAAATGCAGGAAATAACAGGTCTCAAACAGTGCAGAGGTGGGGATCAGGCCCTCCATGAACCTGCAGGTACAGAACAACAACAGAGTTGCAGAAGGATCGTCCTTCAGTATAACATACCCCAGAGGTCGCCTTGGAGGAATCTGTAACTTGGCAGGTTCCCCAAGCTAAGATCCCTCCCTAGGGCAGCTGGCCATCACCTCCAGACCAAGAAACATTGTCAGTTAGGGGATGCATTCCAGCAAGGTCTGGCAAGCAGCACATCATTCACTTGGAGAAATTAAACCATTGCTTGCGTGTTTTATTATAAATTAATTATGTATAATGCATTGTATAATTCATTATTATATCTGTAACATAACTCAGGGTGTTGCCAAGCAGCCTGGGGCTATGGGAGCTGTGGCACTCACCCAAGAGACAGTTGAGAATGGCCAGAGGTGGAAAGACTGTGCTCCCTCTGATTGTGAGCAAGGGAAACACTTAGATTACAGCAGATGGCGCCATCCCAAAACTGCCCTCCTGACCTCTTGGAGCAGAATCAGCCCCTGTGGAGTGTTCTAAAGGTTCATTGATACAAGTCTGGCAAAGCCTGTGTAGGTCCAGTCCTGTATCTAAAAACAGCCAAGAAAATCCAATCCCAGCTAGGCCCCAGAAGTTTCTCCCTTGTCACGGGGTGTTGGCAATCCTTAGGCTGCCCTGACCACTTTCTCTAAAACTGCAGTCCTGGCCAGCCACAGCCACCTTCGCGCCTTCAACAGGCAACAGCCCTCTTTCTGATGGAACTTTTGCTGCTGTCTCGTCGGTGCATCTGGCAGCCGGGAGCAAGGCTGAGTGAGGCTGATGTCTTAATGTGAAAGCGCAAAGAAGATCTGAAGACTGTCGCCCATACAGAGACAGATGCTCCTGCCAGCAAATGAGCTGGCTCCAGGTCAAGAGCACAGAGACTAAACAGAAGGGCCTAGGCGCTGCCTTCAGAGTGCCCCAGGAGCAGAAGCCTCCCTGATGCCTTGCCAGACAGACAGGTTGGAGAGAGGTAGAGGGGTGGGGCTCCAAATGCAGGGCAGAAACTACCTGGGTGAGCCTTTCTGGTAAGGAGGTTCCTGCAGTGTGTCCACAAGGCTCATGTTGGAAGTTGTACTAGCAGACTGAGGTTATTCCAAATTACAGAGGCATCAGGATGAGACAGTATCTTCTCTCTGGCTGTCTAATCACTAAAGACAAATGCATCACTGTAAGAGCTCTGCAATGTGGCAGAAGTTTGATAGGATCAAGGAAACTCATAATTGGATAATAAGCAGCTGGGGTGGGGGTAGGAAGATAAAGAGTATTTAATAACCACTGTAGACATGATGAAATATAACGCAGATCTGAAGATCACTGGACTTTTCAAGGTATGACCTCTATTTAAGGGATAGCAAATGAGTTTAATGAGAACCAAATCCAACTGATTGGCAGGGGCTGGAAAGAGTGATCAACTTACAACATCTGCAATGGGCATGGAAGAGAAAGTGGTATTGGGCATGCCTTCTAGAAGCTAGTTAATTCCTTCCAGGCATCTTGCCTGCAACTTGAGTCACTGCCCCCCAGGGATGGGGTCCTATTAGGGTAATGTGAGCCTAACTGTTAGAAATTTTCTAGGGGAGGTCATGAAGGACAAGAACCATGATTCAGCATCTTGATTTTTACCTTTTCTTTGAGAAGTAGAACTTTTAATGAAAGTACTCACGTAGAGAGAGGGGGTGAGGGGGGAGGGGGAGGTGCTGTGTTACCCATTTCCAGATAAATACCTTAAAGCAAGATGAATAAAAAACTAAGTATTTGTGGTCTCACTTCTGTTTTGCTTGGTGATATTAAACAAGTCACAGCCTCTTTAGATCCCAGCCTTCTCATCCAACATTAAGGTTTGGGAGATCTCTAAAAGTCTTTTCTGACTCTAAAATTTTATGGTGGATTAAAGGATATTTTTTGTTTGTTTCTTTGTTTGTTTGTTTTGAGACAGGGTCTCACTATCTAGTTGAGACTGACCTGGAACTCACTATGTAGCCCAGGCTGGTCTCAAACTCACAGCAGTCCTCCTGCCTCAGCCTCCCAAGTGCTGGGATTACAGGTGTGCAACACCACGCTTGGCTTAAAGGATTTTTTAAGAAGTAGACTTTCAGGAGTCTCTCCCTACCTCCATACTGGTTTCCTCTATAAACTTGAGACCAACTTGTATGGATTTCCTTTCTGAGCATATTAAATGTTTTGAACAAAAACAGCTTTCCAGGAGAGTCCTACAGTAGTATCCTCAAAGAGCCAAGGCTAAAGTCGACATTTATGTGGATCCTGAATTCACTCAGCATGGGTAGACCTGTGAATGGCCTCCCCCAGGAAGAGCGGGCAGGGAGAATGTTTCCTTTACATTTCATTCCTCTGCCATGCCAGATGTACCCCATGCACCCACCCATCAAGGTTGCTTGGCTCAATCGAAAATTAGGGGGTAGGTGGTGGGGTTATCATGATGGTGAATCAGGAAACAGTGATGGTGAGGAAGCTTAGTAGAAGATCTGATAAATGTCTATCCTCTAAGTATTCAGATGAAAGAAGTCATTTAAATGTTTCTCCATACCCTAGCTACTCGGAGTGGTCCAAAGACCAGCAGCATTTGCATCATTTAGGAGTCTGTTAGAAATGTAGAATCTTGGGCCCCACCTCAGACCTAATAAATCAGAATATGCATTTTAACAAGATTTCAGGCTATTTGAATGTACATTAAAATTGAGAAACATTGCTTAATATTGGCTGTACACTGGAATCACTTAGGGAGCTTTAAAAAATCCTCATGCCTGACAATGATTTCTTCGATAAGACACCAGAAGATAAGCACAGGCAATGCAAGAAAAAAAGAGATGAAATGGGATACATCAAAATTAAAAACATGTGCATCCAAGGACACTATGAAAACAGTGAAAAGACAACCCACAGAATGGGAGAAAATATTTGCAAATCATTAATCTGATAAGGTATTTATATCCAGAATATATCAATAAACTGCTGCAACACAAAACAAAACAACCTTATTCAAAGTGGGCAAGAGATTTGAATAGACATTACTCTAAAGAGATACAAATAGCCAATACAATCATGACATATTGTTAACTATATAGCAAATGCAAATCAAAACATTTTATACCCATTAGCGAGACTATAATCAAAAAGCCAGAAAATAACAAATGTTGGTGAGGCTATCAAGAAACTGGAGCTTTGTGTACTGCTGGTAGAAGTGTAAAATGGTGCAGCTGCTGTGGAAAACTGTATGTCAGTTCCTCAAATATATCAAAACAGAATTACTATATGATCTAGCAATTCCACAGCTGAGTATATATGCAAAAGAATTAAAGCAGAGACTTTAACAGATATTCATACACCCATGTGCCTAGCAGCGTTACTCTCAATAGTCAAAAGGTAGAAGGAACCAAACTGTCAATGGGTGGACAAATGGGCAAACAAAATGTAGTGTATACCTACACTGGAATATTATCCAACTTAAAAAGGGAATAAAATTCTCACATGTGCTACCATGTGGGTTAATCGTAAAGATATTTCACTAGGTGATATAAGCTAGTCACAAAAGGACAAACATTGTCAGATTTCACTTACATGAGGAACAGAGAGTTATCAAATTCACAGAGACAGCAAATAGAATGTGGCTTGCAGGAGCTGGAGAGCAGGAAGAGTGGAAAGTTGGTGTTTAATGGGTATAGTGTTTCAGTTTGGGAAAATGAAAGAGTCCTGGAGATGGATGATGCAGATGTTGCACAAGTGTAAGGTTACTTAACATCACTGGTAAATTTTATGTTATATTTTACCGCAATAAAAAAATACTGATGCCTGGGTCTTATCCCAAGACATTGACTTGCGGGGGGAGTGTGGAGAGAGGGTCCAGTCTGACCTTCAGCTTGCTATGTAACCCTCCTGGCCTCAAACTCAAGGTCTCCTACCTAGGCCTTCCGAGTGCTGGATTACAGGCCTGCGCCACCATGGCCTGCCAAGGTATTGTGATTTAATTGGCCTAGGAAGCAACCTGGGAATTGGTTTCTTTAAATTCTCATATGATTCTAATATCCTGCAAAATCTGAAAAACACTGTACAATATTTGTGTTTCGGGCATCTCAAACTTTAATGTGTTCATGAATCACCTGCTGATCTTGTTAAAATGCAGATTCTGATTCAGTAACTATAATGTAGAGCCCAAGATTTCATATATCTAACGAATTCTAAGCTGGTCCAAAGTTACACATTGGTTCTACGCTATAGCTCCCAGAGTCATGAAAACACACCATACATCCCAGTGAAGGTATGAGATGGTTCAAGAAATTTCCCCACTGCCTCTAGATCTAAGGAGCTAAAATCAACCCTATGCAATCTCCAGGTATGCCTAGGCTCAATTCATTTTTATATACTCAAAATACTAGTTGTCTTCTGCTCAAGGCCAAATTACCACAATTGATGGGGAATGACAGAGGGATGCTGACTAAT